TTTTTACTTTTAGGGAAGTCTTTCATTGTTCAGTATCTCAGTTTTCAGATTTTAAAATATGCCAATCATTGTTGTGAGGACTGTCCCCAAAACCTGGGTAAAGAGGCACCCAGCATTAGGGTTAAAGGCTGCCATTTATATTTATGGGGCATCTCATTCTAGATGTGAAGGGACTGAAGCTGAAATCAGCCAAGTATCTCAGCTGGGTGCATTTGTAGAACTTCTGACAATAGCTCAACCTGAAGAAGCTGACAGACAGCAAGTACTATTTTTACCTCAGGAAACTTTGAAGACACTTTGCTGTGACTTCATTTTCCGCTTCAAAGTTGAGAAATGTCCAGACTTCTGTTGAAGAAGACTGAGGCTCTGCCAGGGTCAGCTGTCAGTGACAAAAATATTTCCCAATACTGACAGTGTGGTTCTAATCCCTCTGCTCAGAGATAATGATTTGGGTGTACTCTGATAACTGATCCTGGTATAAGCCTTCTGGAGAATGAGATTTAAGACCTTTTTCACCTTTGGTTCAAGTTTTGGTATGGGTAATACCTGATTACTCAAGTGCAGTTATTCTGTATATATTTATGCCTCTTATTTATATATATGTATGCAGTTATTCTGTATATATTTCTGTAATGCAGACACTAATATTTACTTCCCAGGTTTTTCATATAAATCTCCTCCCCAGGTTTGAAAATGTGTTCATTGGAGTTTCTACATCTACTGGCAAGGGATGATTTCCATTTGATGTAATTGAATGTGAAAAGTGTTTTGGTAATGGGCTATGAAAGATATGTCCAAAAGTAAAATTTTGGCCTCTGCAAAATTACATGTGAAAATGAAAAAGGGGTTAATTAAGAAACACTAAGAAAAAAAAAAGAAGCAAGAAACAGAAAGACCTCAGGACCATCAAGAAGTAAGACACAGAGTATAACTTGCAAAGACATCAGTATGTATTGAATTAATTGTGTTCTGAAGTCCCTTTTCTAATAATAGTTCATGTCACCCTGCTGCTGTGGGACATCATTGCTAAATCATTCTTTTTTCTTTATTCACAGACCCCACAGCCAGTTGAAAACTACATCAGTGAAGGAGAGTTTGAAGACGATCTGAGTTCTTCTACCCCGAGCACAACGGAGCTGGAGGTCCGTGGATCCAGCCAAGAAACAGATGAAGATTATTTTGAAACTGTGTCACATCAGAGTGGATCTTTGTCAGATGTAAAAACTGAGCCTTATGAGAGTGCATCAGACACAGAATCCCTTTCCAGTGACATAACTGGGAATGCTTGCTCGGATTCAAACTGCCTGTTTACTGAAAAACCCCTCCTGTGCTGTAATCTTCCCAAAGAAAAGGCAGAAAGCTTCCAGGAACAGAGGAGCTCCAGGCAACCAGAGTTCGCCCAGCCTGTACAGTTAGAATTGTCCTCCAAAAGAAAAGAAGCACCCAGCAAAACTGAATTTTGCATCCAGTTTGCAGAGTTAGAAGGTGAAGAATTAGGTGATGAAGAGCTAACATTATCCAGTGATATTTCCACCACAGAGAGCCAAGTCTATGAAGAGAGCATTTTATCACAGGCAAAGAGAGAGTCTGTAACAGCAGTGCAGAGTAAGGCAGAGTTAGAAAGCAGGGAAGTGCAGTCCTCTACCAACTCAGTACTTACAAAAAATGACATTGCAAGACTGAAGGAACACCCTGCAGTATTTAGCATTGCTTGTTTCAAAGCAAACTCAGAAAGTTGTTTGATTTTTCCTGAGGTACAGCAGTTTTCCTTCCGGTCAGATGCAGTACCAAGCTGCAGTTTGCCTAATCTTCATTTTGAAACAAATGGGCCTAACTGTAAAAGTGACACTGAGACACCTGACTGTAAGTGTGAATTAGAGTCTCTGTCCAGTATAAAATGCAGCAGGAGGAATTCAGCTGACAGTGAGGACACTACAGGTAAAAGGATAAAATATGGAAGTACAGAAACCATGTTGACATCAGATTCACTCTCCTACCAGAGTTGCTTCAACCCAAAATCCTGGCTACCACAAAAAAGTTCAGAGATTACAGAAAGTAAAACATGGCACAGTGTACCTGAAAATATCAGTGCTCAAAGGGAGACAGAATGTGTGGTGAGCTGTATTCACCCAACAGACAAATTTAGATGGTCGTGTTCCAGAATACATCTTCAAGAGCTGGATTTTGAATACACTTGGAAAAACTTAGGAAGGGTAACTGTAAGCCCTGAAAAGGCTATAGAAATAGAGGGCCAATTTGGGATGAAAAGATCTCTTCTTGATACTGACACAGACTCAAAGGTGTGTCAGGTTTCTCAACCAGCAGCCTCTCCCCAGTGCATCGATTATTATTTGCACTCTAAATCAGAGACGTGTGGCCTTAGCCCAGAGCCAGCTGGTACTTGTGCTGACAGCTTAACATGGAGTGATGCTTGTGAGGACAATCCAAACCAAGAGGAGACATCCTCTTCCCTGGATTGTGATCCAGGGATCATAGATACTGAGGAACTTACACAAAACAATGAGTACACAGCTGAACAAGATCTGGAAGAGAGCAGATTCCCATGTGATATTGATACTGAACTTACACAAAACAATGAGTGCACAGCTGAAAGAGATCTGGAAGAGAGCAGATTCCCATGTGATATTGATACTGAACTTACACAAAACAATGAGTGCACAGCTGAAAGAGATCTGGAAGAGAGCAGATTCCCATGTGATATTGATACTGAACTTACACAAAACAATGAGTGCACAGCTGAAAGAGATCTGGAAGAGAGCAGATTCCCATGTGATATTGATACTGAACTTACACAAAACAATGAGTGCACAGCTGAAAGAGATCTGGAAGAGAGCAGATTCCCATGTGATATTGATACTGAACTTACACAAAACAATGAGTGCACAGCTGAACAAGATCTGGAAGAGAGCAGATTCCCATGTGATATTGATATTGAACTTACACAAAACAATGAGTGCACAGCTGAAAGAGATCTGGAAGAGAGCAGATTCCCATGTGATATTGATACTGAACTTACACAAAACAATGAGTGCACAGCTGAACAAGATCTGGAAGAGAGCAGATTCCCATGTGATATTGATGTTGAATCAGTCACTGGTGACACTGAGTGCCCTGCAGCTTCTCCTGCAGGTGTTTCTGCTGGGGTGGAAAGCAGAGACTGGGACTGTTCTGTAAACTGTGTTTCCAGTAGTGAAATACAGCACACACATTTGAAGGAGAATGGCCTTGAATCTGAGCTGTCAGATACAGAGATTGTGGCAGGAGAAAGATGGGCAGATGATTCTGATTCTTCTGATCTTGGCTTTGATTGGAAAGTCCTGGAAGCTGCAACACGACCAGATGGCAATGACAGAGGGGCAGAGCATGGAGAGTCAGTGCAGCAAAATACAAGTTGCAAAACTGGTGCCTTGAGGAGCCACTCAGAGCTAGGAACACATGAACATCCTACTCATAAAGGAAAGGATGAAGAGAGTGTCTTGGCTGTTGAAAGGACTCTCAGATCAGATGATATAAGGCAGGGAAGGGATTTAATGACTACTCCAGAATTAAAGCCTGCCCTAATTATAGTCTCTGTGGAAGAGAAAGGATTACAGTCCCAAACACTGAATGATAACCTTCCTACTGAAGTGGGAGCTGAAACATTGGGAAATGTAGTGAGCAAGGATTTGATGTCCCCTTATACTGTCAGTAAAGCTCATGGTGAGCCAGCGAGAGTTCTGAGTGAATGCTGTAACTGTGAAGAACTAATTCTGGCCACCCACCCCATTCCTGGCAGTGCAGAGGTACTTTCTGGTAGGGATACAACTGAAGTAAAACCAGAAATTTCAGAAGAGAAAAGAGAGAAAACAGAAGTAGTTTCATCCTTAGGGCTTACCTGTAGTAATTCTGCAGTAGCAAGTGCAGAATTGGAATTCAGGGATGATGCTGTAGCACTAGGCAGTGATACACTTCCTGCAGAAATTCAGACAGATCCATTTGAAAAAACACTTGTAAAATCCCCCAGTGGAAGCAGTGTGGAGCTCTCTGAGGATGAGCACTGCAGAGCAAGGCCACTGGTGACTGGAGCAGTGCCACTGGAAACCAGCAGCAGTGTAAGCAGTGTGTGCCAGGAAGGTGGTGCTGGTGTCAGCCCTGAAGGGCCCAGCACTGTAAAATCACAGGGTAGAGGTGGTGTGATGGCCTTTGAGGAAGAGCCCTGCAGAACAAAGAAGGGTTTTGAATTTGGGAGAGAACAGTTAGGAAGGTCAGGCTTTAGAAACCTTGGAAGAAGCAATGACCAGGTGTCTAAGGAAGAGGAATTCAAAGCACATGGAAGCACAGAGGAAGGTTTGACTATTACCAGGGCAGTGACAGTGGAAACGAGCAGCAGTGTAAGCAGTTTGTGGCAGGGAGATGGTGCTGGTGTCAGCCTTCATTGGCCCAGCATGGTCTCTGAACAAGCAGTAGGCAGGAGAGCAAAGGAAAGCTGTAAGGGCTCAAAGGAAGAAACAGGTGTTTGTGAAGAACCCTCTCCTAGAGAAGGAAAGGAGACCTCTCCTGCAGAAGACATCTCTAGCCCCAGCAAAGACAGTGCACTCAGTCTGGATGTGTCTGATGTCTTTGATGAGTCTCTGAACAGGGAGACCCACAGCACTTTCATGCTGGGCCTGGACAATGTGAGCACCTGCAGCACTAACAGCGAGGAACTGGATGAGAACTCATCCCACATCCTGGGGAGTAACAGCAGTCTTCATAAAGCTGTACAAAAGCCAACAAAGAATGAGTATAGTGGGAAATCTTCCAGGTTTTTAGTATTCCCAAAAATGACATCTTTCAGGAAAACTAAGCCTGTCTCATGGGAAAATCAGGGAAGCAGCAGTATCTTTGGCAGCAAGGTAAAGATGGAAGAACTGGATGTTGGGAAAGATGATGACGACACTGCAAGTTTACTGTCTTTCAAAAGTTGTTCATCTGGTTTAGTCTTCCACAGGAAGGAAAGCTACACCTCTGAGTACTCTGATGATGATGATTTATTTTATGAGAGACCTGCAGGATTTTTCAGGTTGAGCCTGAGGAAGGCCTCTGGCTCTGGTCGGATACTGATGGAAGATGCAGATCGACAAGTTTCAGGTTCATCTGAAAACAATGACAGTGAACCCGCGGAGCATTCAGGGATTAGAAAATTATTCCCTGAAAATGAACACAAAAGAAACAAAACCCCTGAGGGTAAGAAGTTCAGGACAAGGTTGGCCTTGGCCCACAAATCCCTCTCAAGCTTATTTGAGTCCAAATGTCCAGAAAAGGAAAACACTGAGCAAAGCTCAAAAGCGTCAGTGAAAAATGAAAAGGAGAAAGTCAAACTTCGCCAGAGTGCCTGGAAAGCTTTTCTAAAGAGCAAGGAGGCAGATGGACTAAAAAGGCCTGTCCTAGTAAGTTTGTCATCCACACAGGAGGGTCTCAATGCAACCAGTGGCCATGTGTTAACACCACTAGAGCAACAGTATAGTTCCAACAGACACACTTTTTTAAAAACAGAAACAGATAATGGCTCTTCAACAGACTCCAACTACTTTGACAGCTCTGTGGAGCCTCTTGATGTCTCTTTACCTGCACGTATGTGGAGAAGACGAATCCAGTCCCATGACTTGGGTATCAGATACTCACAGAGTTCAGACTGTGATGAACAGCAGGAGGTTCTGAGCAACAGTTTAAATACTTCTCTAGAGGAATACTGGATTAAAACTCCATTTAGCCCCCCTGATTTCCAGCTGGCATTTAGTCAGTCAAGTCCATCATGTCCCCAGCTCTCCAATTCTGATGGTAAAGACATGCCTTGTAGGCCCATGAGTCCCAAACCTCAGAGCTCACGATCCACTTCTCAGCACAAGAACCTTCGCTACCCTGGGCGCGTTTGCGCTGCTTCTATGATCTCTCTTGGGAACAGCTCTGAAGTGGAAAGCAGTCTGGAGGCTCCTGAGAGGCCAAAGACACTGAAACCCAGAGGAAGTCTCTTACACTCGCTGGACGACTTCCAGAGGGATGACAGTGGCATAAGCAGTCAATCCCAGATCAGCTTAAATACAGCTTCTTCCATTACTGACATGCTCCGAGACGAGGTGAGCTGTTGTCAGGGAATGACCAGGGAGTGGTTGGGTTTGCTCTACTATGGTTTAGGAATTCAGTGAAACTCTTCAATGGCTCAATGGCTCATTGGTTAGATGAGTGCAAAAATATTTCTCTTGGTTTAAGACAGGTAGCACTTGTTCTTTCTGTTTCTGTTCAAGACTGTATGAATTGATGTGCTCTTAAAGGGAGGATTTGCTACAAAAACCCAAAGGAATGGAGCAATCACAACACCATTAAAGATTGTACAGACATCACCCTGTGTTATCTCAGTTTAAGCTGGGTTTTACCCCTCTTAAGGCAGAATTCAGCCTTGTAACTGGTGTATAGTAAGTAAGTTTCTCATTGTGAAAGGCAACAAAGATATCAAGTCCTATGGCTAGCAGTCACTTTTTAAGAAGTAAAATCACTTTCTTTAGACAATGAGTAGCTGTCTTTAGAAGTACCATATGTCTTCTGCAGTCACCATAAGTACCTTTTGGTTGCTACTAGAAGTCCTCTTTTGCCTTTTCTACAACAAACAGAAAAAACCTCCCAAACTGCAGGCTCACAGTCTCCTTTTCATGTTGTATTTTGTTCTAACTCAGGTAACACATTAAGTCCTTTGCACAGGCTGAATCTCAGGGAACAGATTGGATCTTCATGAGGAATTTTGTGATTGGCTGAGATTTGTATAAGCAGAGACTTCCTCTGTCAGTAGGCTTTTAATCCCAGAGAGGATTTCGCAAGTTGTAAGTGGCTGGGAGCTTAGGAATCTCTTTCAGTGGCTAAGCACAACCCCCAGAGTGACTGAGACTGAGCTGTAACTGAGATCCCAGAACATGCCTTGACCATGCTACTTTTTCACTATTATTGCTGATGAGTTTTGACATTAAAAAATGGGAGAATAATTTTTTTGAGCAGATTGTCAGAGGTGGTACTTGAGAGAGTGCATGAACTTTTGCATACCCCAAGCAGACAATTTTCAGAGGGTTCATTCATCTGAAGCAGCCTGATCAATTCATAACAGCTGAGTGCTGCTTGTGTTCAACTCAAATGAGCCTCACACAGCTTTTGCTGCTGTTGCCTTTTGCCTCTCACACCTCAGCTTACAGTAAGCCTTTAACATATCATTCAAGATGATCTTATCCTGCCTTTTCTCCATACTTTTTTACAGAAAGTCCCTATTTTTTGTATAGAAACAAAGATAGGCAGAACCATCTCTTTATCTAGCCAATTTTTGAAAACCTCCATTGCTGAAGGATTCACTGCCTCTCTGGGAAACACATTCCTTGAGATTTTTTTTTTCCTAATTCCCAACAAGAACTTTCCAAGCTGCAGTTTTTGGCCACTGTCTTGTGGCCCTGTCTGGCACTACTGAGAAGACCTGGGTCCCATCATCCATGTAAATACAAAATTGTTGGTGACTGCTCTTACACTGCCTTTAGTGCTCTCTTATCAGCTTGAATAAACCCAGCTCTCTCAACCTCTCCTCGTATTCCCAAATGAAAGTGTTTTGCTTGATTGGCTTGGGGTTTTTCTCTAAAGCTGCCTGGAATCCAAAGAAGTGTTTGGGTGGCAGTATGAGAGGTAAGAGCTGTAGTATCAGAATTGCAGGGGGGAAAAGGGGAAGAGAATTAGCTTTATTCCCTTCTGTGCTTAGCTTTATTTTAAAATATTTTGTTTCATGGGCAGCAGGTTAACCTACAAACTTAATACTGCACACTGCATTCCAAACAAGAGACTGCAGCCTAGGAAAAAGCAAGAGACTTGGACTATACACACTGTCAACAGATGAAGCCTCTCAGAGGATGAATAAAATCATTGACCTGTAAATTACAGCTCAAAAGAACATCTAGAAAAGAGTGTAGAGATCAGGCATGTGTAAAGCCTTAAAAAGGCAAGACTAGATGCTATAATGTAAGCATTAGGAGCAAATAAATAATTACTTAAATTGATTGCTAGATTAAATTATTCAAAGAAAACCATAAAAAATTTAAATGGTATCTAAGACATATAAAAACAGTTTCATTTTCCTGATTCTTCTGGAGGCTGCAGAATATGATATCTGAAATTGGACAATGCAGCTGGAGCCTAGAAATTAATGCAAATGTCCCAGATTTCAAAACACAACATCTAATCTATTAAAATAGATAGGGCTTTATTTATTTCCCTTTTCATGACATTGTGAAATGAAGTAGAATTGCACCCTGGATTTTTTAAGCAAAGCTGTATTTTCAGGAATCTCTGAAATTACAACAGACACTGGGCAAAGTGTATTTGTAGTGTTAAATCTTTCCAAAATAATTATCATCTATATGCTAAGGATGGCCTTCCTTATGTATGCTGCTTCCTAAGGAGACCATAAAAATTCAGTTTATTGGTGAATTTGAAGGAAAGTCCTTTTCTGTTCCACATGAGTAAAGACATTAGTGCAAAACATATCTGTAATAGTGAAACTCTTGAGCTCACTTCCCACTGTGCCCTCCAGGGTGGGGATTTGTATTTACTCCCCAGCCCCAGCCAGGTATTTTTATAGCTGTGTCAGCATTATCTGTGTTAGTGCTGTGCCAAACTGCACTGGATCAGCTCATCCTGGACACCTCTGGCTACCACTCAGGTAAGTCACTCCCCTGAGCCTGGTGGAGCACACACCAGCCCCTCTCTCATTTCCTGCTATTGGTTAACATTGCCCAGGTTTCATGTAGGACAAAGATTTTATGCTGCAAACAGCAAGACAGAACCATTACCATCTGCCAGGCCCTTCCCTACATGTTTAATTAATCTGTTCATGGCATGATTTTTTTTTGCATAAATTGTGTTACTCATCAGGCAAGAGCAAACTGTCCTAAAATGTCCCATGTTTGGAATTCACATGTTCTTCTCCTTGCTCCTGTCCAGTGAGGTGGGGCTAGGCACAAAACACCTTTTTCACAGAATCTATTCTTTCTAGACTGGCATGTCTTATGAGGGGAGAAGAAGAATTGACCTGGAATTGTTGGTTAGTTGAAAATAGAATGGAAGTGGCTGCAGTGGTTTGAGGGTTGTTTTATTTGGGTTCTTCAAGTGATCTGTGAGAAACTGGACAGATAGTATCGTCAGGATTTTTTTTTGTCATGAGACTCCTGAGTTCACTCATTCCCCAGTGTTGTTATTGCCTACCTTAAATATTATTGATTCTCACACTGATGCTACCTGGAGTAGTAGCTGGTTGCCTAAGGGCACACTTGATTTCAAGTTGTTTGAGTATAAAAACTGCAATTTTGTGCAACCACTCAAAGGGGAGTGAAGGGCAAAGCTCTGCAATTCCTTGCTCTTGGCTCAGCATCAAGCAAATAAAATGGATAGTATAAAGAGCACATTAGTAACCACAGGGCTTAATATATCAGACCTGCAGGCATCTACAAAGCCTTTTCACATCGTATAATGAAGTGCAGTTGGAAAACCAGAAACAGACAAGAGGTCCTTTTTCTGTTTTCAGAGACATAGTCTGTCTTTGTAAACAATATTATAGAGACAGAGGGACCTAAATCCTGGTGGAATGTCAGTGGGATATGCCATCTGAAATGAGGGTGAACTGGGCACTGTCCTGGGCACAGGGAGTGTATATTGCACCCTCAAAGGACAGCAGAGCTGCTGCTTCTGGGTGGAGTGCTCCTAAGTGTTTTCTTCTGAGTAGTTCTGTGGCTGAGTAACAGAACTTTGCCATCTTCTGTTCAAACTGACTTGAAGCAAACAAAATTTCCATCCAACAAACCCTGTGTTTTCACCTGCAGTTTGTAAAACAGGAGTCTAAACAGCCATGTCAAACAGCAGCTGGAAAGAGGCCAAATAAGAAATGGGTTCCCCATCGCAAAAGGAGGCCCCCCCGGGTCCCAGCGTGCCCCATGGCCACCCTGGAGAGCAGAGCCCGCACGCTCTCCTTCCCTGCTCCCGAGGAAAAAGCCAAGGAGATGCCAGAGAGGAGGAGGAAGAGACCCAAACCCCTCTATAAGTGCTTCAGCTTCGATGATGTTTGGATGGAGAGGAGTCAAAAAAGGAAGCTAGAGAAGGAGACACAGCCAGAGGGAGGGGTTCAGTTGCAACATCTCCCACAGGACCCCTCAAAAGTAAGAAGCCACACGCCGACCTCCTCGTTCTCTGGCATTGTCTTCCTCTCTGCTCAGGCTCTTTCTCTCTGCTGTCATCATGTTCCTGTCCTTACACTTTGTCTGGTACCACTTCTGTCAGCATTTCTGTGGGCCTGGTACTCTGTGGAGACTGCAGAAACACCAAACTGGCCCTTAAGTGATAACATCTGAAGGTGGTGGGTTCCTTAGCTTCTGAAATCGAACAGATCATGCCCTGTGAGATGGTGGGAATAGAATGCAAGAGAATCAGGTTGCTTTGTGAGCTGAGTGATGGGGAGGGCAAGGAGCAAATCAAAGTTTCCTTAAATCAGTATAAATTAAACTGATGAAATCTCATTCTGTGCCCTGTGGTGTTGCTGTATAACTTTAATAACAGACTTTAAATTAGACTTCCCTTGTATCTGATGCCAACTCCACAATTCCTACTGAAGCAAATTCCTGCTGTGAAACACTCAAGAGAACATTGCCATTGGATTTTTAGCTATTAATATTCTCCTCTCCACTGAGGGAGACTTTTAGTTCAGCATTATGATTGCTTGTGAAAAACTTTGTGGCTGTTGTGACTCACACTGATGGCATCTGTTACTTTTGGATCCAGAGCTAAGGTCTGTTCCCTTCAGGGAGAGTCACAAATCTCTATCCAAGAGCCAAAATTAGCCTTAACACATACAAAAGGACTTCTGGGGAAAAAAGACATGAGATCAAGGGATGCTCTATGAAGCCTCTCACGATGATATTGAGAAAGTTTCTGATCAAGCTTGAAATCACATAGCAGATACTCAAACAAAAGCTTTCCTCAGGGGTTTTCCTTTTTGGTCTGTTTTCTGTGTTTGTTTCCCTTTCTCTCTGTTGTCCTGGTTGACTGACTCTTGTTGTTATTACATTAAAATGACAATTTTGGAGAGGAGATGAGGCCTCAGTAGTCCTATCACCACTTCAGAATGTGCTTGAGCTTATGTGCACAGATAGTTCTGTGAATGGTGAAGGGGAAACATTGGCTTGCCCAGAGAAAACCTGTCCACCTGTCCATCAACCTGACAGACACCTGGGACAGCAACCCCAGAAACAGGGGCTCTGAAAAACTGCTCCCTGTTCTCCCCTTCTCAAGGAAAGATACTAAAAATCTGGGCTATTTTATATATGTTGGGCTCTTCAACACAAAGTGTGGCCAGTTGCTGCCTGGATGAGTGCTGGATATGATTCTCTGATGTGTTTCCCACTCTCAGTTCAGTGAGGATGCTTCCCTGGCTCAGCTCCATACTACCTATGTGATGGAGACAATGAGTATTGCTCTTGAGGTTTGTGTATGTTAGGATAAAATAATTTAGAAATAAATGACTTGGGTTACTTCTCTTCCTTGGCTGAAGTTCTGAGTGCTTAGTGCTGTGCAGGGATGAGGCAGGCTAGTGAAAGTGAATGCCTGGTTTACACAGGGTCAGGGATTAGCAGAAATCAGTGAAATGTACTAAAAATATTTCTCACAATTCCTGGACAAGCATGGGTAGTGATGGAAATCCAGCCCGTGCTGCAGGGCATGTGGGCCAGCACTGAGCCCATTAAGGCTGCTAAGAGCAGTGACCAGCTCCCTCAATAGCTTCCCCTGGAGCCATCAGATCACACAGCTTGAATGCTGTCTGCTTTGCTGATTGACTGCACATTTGGAGGCTGCCAGAAAACAGCTTCTCCTTTAAGCATTTCCACCCTTATTTTCTGGTGCAAACTCACCTCTAAATTGCAATCAGCTGCACCATGATTTGCAGCTGCCCCTGTGCCCACGAGGCCTCTCTGAACATCACCTGCCCGGGGGCTCTTGGACCTCAGTCAGTTTTCTGGCTCATTCTTCTCTGGCAGCAGGGTGTAGGTAGGTTTGGGGTTTACTGTTTCTGTCCATTTGTGTTTTGTAAGTTATTGACACTTTAATCTTTGTAGGCAGGCCAAGAAAGCAAAATGCTGATTTAATGAGAGGACTGTGGGGATTCAAAGTCTCTTTTTTTATGCCCATATAACTGAATTTCTTGGCCTGTGCTTTTTATTTATAATAGTAATCACACAGTTTATTTTTCATATTATTTTATTCTGTCTTTGCAATGCTCTAGTCCTGTAATAGTGCTGGTTTATTCATACTCCTAAGTGTCTTGGGAGTGCTGTCACAAGCTGCACTGTTTGAGGGCAGTTTTAGAATGATGCTGAATCCCTTTTAATAAGAAGGAACAAATTATCCCAAAAGAAGCTCTGTAAGATGTTCATTGTCTGTTGTGGTTCTGTGACTGCAACAAGGGGACTGTATGGAGCTTTGGAGAGCTGAAATTACAAGTCTGATGTTTTCTGACACAGCTGCCTTGGGATGTGTGGCTTCTGTTGTGACAAGTCACATTGTGTTAAGTCAAGATCAGGTCAGCCCTCAAGGAGATGTAATGCTGCAATATTGGGGAAACAACTCAATGGGGCAGAGCAGAGAGGAATCCTTGTTTATTCAAGTGCTGATTTCTGATACCACTCTATCATTCAGATGAATGTACAGAGAGGAGCATAATGGAAATATAAGGCTACTCTGAGGGCTGGCAATTGGGACAGGGAAAATGGACAAACAATCAAGAAATTACCTATAAGCTAAAAAAAAAACCAAAATAAACCCAAACCCCAAAAACATTTAAAATGCCAATTCCAAACAATTCTATATATTGTGGATATTTTTTTGCTTAGGCCCAGTAAACTTCTCTGCTTCCTTAAATGGGTACAGCTTGTGTAAATTCCCAGTCAAACTCAAAGCCTGACCCAGCTGTCCCTTATAATGAGATGCTGCCAGTAACAAGCTGAGCAGCTTCTGATCTCAGGCCTTAAAATCTTAATACAGTGCCCACCCCAAGGGGAAGAAGACAAACATAGCTGTGGATGAATCTGTGTCCTTTTGCTTGTCCATAGGCTGTGCCCTTCAGATGATGGTGGGCTTCAGGCTGTAGCCTGGGGTCCTCTTGCTTCTTTTTAATGCAGGAGAAGTTCCCTCACTGGAGCAGAGACAATGCCCCGAACCACTGCCATATGGAGTGCTGTAATGGCAACAGGCTCTGGTTTGGGAATTATTTTTGCTCTGAACTGCCTGTCTATTGCCTTCCAGTGCTTTCCTGTTTTGACAAAAATTTAAACCTGGTTCTTAAGCTTGATGCCTCTTGAGTGCACAGCAATAGAAGCACAGACATGGCTTCTACTTGCATTTGTTTGAGGACAGTTTGTGCACTGCCAAATTAGAGAGATTCCTAAAAGGCCCATCAGGGGGCTATACCCAGATGGGGTATCGTGCAAAAAAAGCTCTTTTATTTTGAAAGAGAAATGAGAAGCAGTGAAAAACAGATCTTTAGCTCATTGCTCTGAATATGACTTCTGCAAATCTGATTTTACCCCATCCAAAATAAGAGAAAATGAAGTTTTGTTGTGTAGTACCATGGTGTGAGCACTGTGGATAACTCAGATAGATTTTGAGATGGAAATGAATACACTTTGAGGAGGGAATTTCATGAAAAAGGTCTCCCCCTGATGTGCACCTGACAAGGCATGGATACACAACAGAGCCCCTGCCAGGGACTGAACTGCTGTGCACAAGAGCATAGAAATAACCTCTGGAACCTCTGGCAGAAAATACAGGAGAGAGGACCTTTACTATGGTCTGCTCCCTCATTCCTCATCCTCTCCCTTGTAGGTTGTACAATCCCTGCCCCATGTAGCTAACACTGCTGAAAATGCTTCTTCTCATGAGTTAGGGTTGTACAGGCCTGCCTTCCATGCCATAGGAATCAAATGATGCCTGTACCAAAACTTGTTCTGATGTCCCAGGAATTAATAATTATAAAGTTTGCAGTTGTAACAGCCCTAGGCCAGGGTTCTGCTTTCTAGTCTTAAACAGAACAATAATGCTTTCTACCACCTTTCATGTAAATAACTTAGACTTTACCCTTGACATTTTCAGAGCTGTGGCCCAGTAAGCTTGATTTTCACTGTCACCAGAAGAGTGTGTGCTCCCACTGGATCTTTGCTGTGACTTTTCTAGAGAAACAGGCACTGCTGAGTTTAATTTGAACAGGATTCATGCTATCCCTCAAGAGATGGTGATTTGTGTTCTCTTTGTTTTAGGAAAGTTAAGTCCAGGAATAGAAAACCAAACCAGGCATGGAGCAGCAGCACTCTCAGCTGTGTGAGCACTGTGTGCTGGTTAGTTTGGGAAGGAAGGTTTGGCTAATGGCCTTTACCAGGAGAGGTTTCAGCATCAAGGCTGCTCAGCAGACTTTCTGCTGATAGGACATGCTGTGTGCTGGTGGAGAGAGGGAAAGACCCTAGAGATCTCCTTATTTCAAGTTCCTGGCTCAGTGAAGGATGGATATGTTGTAACTCAATGTCAGTGGCAAAAGGAAGGGGCAATCGTGATAGAGGTGAAAAACTGGCCCATGGGAGCAGTGCTTACTGACCAGCTGATCTCCCAGGCACTGATGCTTTCTGCATGTGGCAGCCACGGGAGAGAAAAGAGAGAAAAGGAAAAAAGGATAAAAGCATACCTGCAGCATGCATTAATTAACATTCTGTATTAGAGGCCATGAGCTATGTGTATGTATCTCTATGTCTTCTCCTTTAAACCAGCAAAAGTTAGTAACTCAATGAGATCTGGCATTGGTATAGAGCTTTCAAAGTTCTTTTAAGTTCTATAAGTTTTATAAAATCAATCAGCCAGGTAGAGGAGAGTGTGAGAATTCTTACTTGTACCTTTCGCTGACGAGAAAAATATTGTTATCCACACTCTGTATGGCCGGTACCAATAAATCTCTGAAGGGAAAAGCTTTAATTTCATGTTAAATACCAGAAGAGGACCTATTAGTCACAAAGCTTCAGGAACAGTTCTGCAGCTGAGGGGATGACTCTTTGTAGTAATATGAAACCCCACAGAAACATTTCATAGAGAGGAGTGAAACTCTCTGTGAATGGAGGTGTGTGTGGCTGTATGTGAAGTATGAATCTGTTCTTATCACCTTGCAGTTTTCCTTGCCTTCTCACTGTTTTCTAACATTTCTAGCCACAGTCATCCATGTGTGTCCACTAACATGCTGCTTACTTACACGGGCAGGTATCAGAGGTGGGAAGAGGTGCTCTGGGATGAATGCTGGGCATTTAACCGAATGTTTGTTGCCTTTGTTTTCCCTGTCCTGTTGCAGACTGGAATAAGTCCATCCATCACATCTCCTGTTGCCTTTGACATCCTGCCCCTGAAGCTGCATTCCTTTTCCAAGAGCACCCCGACAGGCCTGGACTGTGTGGGCTGCAAACGGCGCATCTCCGCTCCCAGTGCGTACCCTGGGCTGGGCTGGGCTGGGCTGGGTGGGGGGCAGGAGAGAGTGAGGCTCTGCTTTACTGAGAGTGATGAGCATTGTAACCTGATCACGATGATTGCTGCATCCATGTCTGAGCAGAAATCTGCTTCAGAGTGGAATATTTCATATGCTTTCTCTGCTTTAGAGTGGGATCTTTCATGTGCTTTTCATATTCGGGTTTGTTTTCTCCCTGAGTGGAAGAATAGGGTGCAGTTTAAAGGCATGGCCAGCTTTTTAGTGAAGAACAGATCACTCCTTGCAGTGATAGTGTGCTGTAAGGATCCGTGCCTGGCGGGCTGTTCGGCTGCTATCCAGCAGCTATGGACCCCAGCCCACACGATCTTGCATGGATGAAGGTGAAAGATGAGAAGCACTCTTCTCCACATGGGGACTAAGTCCTAAATCTATTTCCTTGATAGGAGACATCAGATCATCCAGCTGACCCCCCAGATGGAAAAGTGGGCGTCACCTTCTCCCAGGGGGATTTTGAGCTGAGGGGAAGGGGGACGGAGGAAGGGCACAACAGCCGATGGGATCCAAGTGAGGAGGGGTGAGGGAAAGGGTAACGCAGGCAGAGAGCACCAACACTGATGGGGGAAAAGGGGGAAGACCCTGTGGTGACAGGATACAAATCATGTGAACAGTGCAAACTACCAAACACCCAGTGCAAATAACTAAATAACTATTTAGTGCAATACAACAGTGTGCCTGATGTAGAAACAGTGTGTTGTCTCGTGAGAACTGTCCCACCTATGATGATGTCACCTCTATCACACTCTTGAATTAGATTTCTGCAGATGAAATAGACTCTGCCTTGTGTTTGCTGGAGAGCACTACAGTGGGTATGGTGAGATTCCTCTCAGGTTGCTAATTAGGTACTAAAGCAACTAAATGAGCCTCTAGAGACAGAAGTTTCCTGTACTTTAAATCCCCCTAAAGAACAAGTATGCTGTGTTTTCATGAGGAATGCACATGAAGTATCATGTCTGCTTCATTTCCGATGACTGACACTTTCTCAGAATTAAAATGTAACTTGCACAGATTATTAAACTGTGAGATGTATCTTTGCCAGGTTTTTAAATTCTCCATCTGACAGCGCCTGCCCAAACACTGCTGATATCTCTATCACAGCACTTTGGGCTGGAATAAGGGAAACAGAATGCAGAGGAGTTGTTTGGTGGTTAGGAACCTAGCCAGGAAAAGCCAGCCACAGTTGGGTGCCAAACTGCCATTTCTGCCTCAGAAGGTCTCTGTACCATCGATTAAACCGTGCTGGAGTTACCTAATTAAGGGACAATAACATTGTACTAATTACATCAGAGTTGAATGGTCATAGTATTTTGTCAAGCAAAACTGGTTTGTTTGTGCAGCTCTTGCACAGAGTCATGAGGCTTGATCTGGAAATAAGAAAACTATTTATTATTGTGGTGTTGAGAGCCTTGCCTTTGCTCTCTCAGCACTGAGGGCTTTGATCACTTGCTGTCACAGGCATCTGGTGCTGCCCCAATGCTTAGGACCAGCTCCCTGGCTGAATTAAAAAAGCTGTAGCTTTACTCCTTGGAAATCCCACATGGAAACCCATCACTGTCAAGTTGTCTGTGTATCTCTGACATCAGCTGAAATCCCTGAGCACTGCTGTCATAGAAGTACATTCTGAGTCACAGCTGAGACAAATTTCATGGTAGTTCCCAACTGGGACATGAGGGAGTTAAAAAATATGTATGAATTTCTGAGGGTGAATAGGGGAAATAAATGTATGCAGACTGACCAGCTGGCAGTGCTTTAGGTGTTTATATGCTGTCTAGAAATGGGGCCTGCAACCTGAATCATCTGTGATTCACACAATATTCCTGAGATAGGTACAAGTGAGTTTCTTATCATGACCTAAGAATTTCTGAGTAAATGTAGCAAAACAAGTGAAATCAAGCAGAATCATTTTCCCACCCCCAAAACCATGCTCCTGGGAAAGGAAACTGGTGGAGAGAGGAAGCAGGGGCTCTTCTCCCACAGCCATTTCTGTTAGCTGCTGCATGTGGGCTTCATTTGAAGCATTTTGGAGGAGAATGTGGGTACGTGTCCTGCCTGTGGTAGGATGTGGATGAGAAGAAAACTGCAAGTTACTGAAGTAATACTCTGAGGCTGATGGATCAGTTTTAAGATTGGCTATGTCCTTGAGGCAGCAGTAGTGCAGCAGAATGCCTTCTTTGGTTCTTGTACAGATTTGTCGTGATACCTGTTGTTTTTGACAGAGCTGTAGGGCATGGAAAATAAATATAAAATAGTCAATTAATTTAATCTAATTTTAAGATTTCTAACTCCAAAGCTGCAGCTGCTTGTATTAATGATCCCAGTCTATGTTGTAGTCATAAAAGACAGTGGATATAAAAGTATTATGCAATCTCCAGTGCTACTAGATACTTCCATGTTGAAAATACGAATAAATTTCCCACTCCCAAAGTCTGCACCTCTTCACCTTGTGCAGAGAATGCTGCAGAGACTGGGAGAGATGGAGGATGGAGACCTCTCTAGTTCTGCAGTGTGAAATGATGGCTGGAATGGTCTCAGCCCAAAAGGCGCCATGCACAGCTCTCACACCCTGTCATGCACCTACCCGGGGGCTGGGACAAGAGCTGGGGACAGCCTGGCTATCCTGGCTGGGCTGGGTGCATTTTGCTGGAACAGCATGACAGACAGCAGAGAAATTTCATTTTAGCGCTGGATGTGCTGTGCCCGTCCCGGCGCTCTCCGCAGTCGGATCCCCCGCTCTCACTGCCTTGGGCCCTGCTGGCAGGGACGGGCAGGCTGAGAGCGGGGACAAGCACTGCCCGCCGGGGCCTCAGCCCGGGCAGGCCCTGCGGAGCCGGGCGGCACCGGCAGGTGGCTCTGACCGCTGTGGAATCACGGAATTCACAGAATGACCAGGTTGGAAGAGACCTTCCAGATCCTCGAGTCCAGCCCAGCCCCAACAGCTCAACTAAACCCTGGCACCCAGTGCCACATCCAGGCTTTGTTAAACACACCCAGGGATGGGGACTCCACCACCTCCCTAGGGCAGCCATCCCAGAACTTTATCACTCTTTCAGTGAAAAACTTTTTCCTGATATCCAACCTAAATTTCCCTTGGCACAGCTTGAGGCTGTGTGCTCTGGTTCTGTCAGTGCTGCCTGGAGAAAGAGCCCAACCACACCTGACTGTAACCACCCTTCAGGGAGCTGTGAGAGTGATGAGGGCACCCCTGAGTCTCCTTTTCTCCAGGCTGAGCACCCCCTCAGTCGTTCCTCATAGGGCTGCCCTTCCCAGCCCCTAAATGTGGTGGGCCAGGCCAGGCTGTCCCCAGGCCGGGCCGGGCTGTGCTGGGCTGGGCTGTCCCCGGGCCTGGGCTGGGCTGTGCTGGGCTGGGCTGTCCCCAGGCCTGGGCTGGGCTGTGCCGGGCCGGGCTGTCCCTGAGCTGGGCTATCCCTGGGCCTGGGCCGGGCTGTGCCAGGCTGTGCCGGGCCGGGCTGTCCCTGAGCTAGGCTATCCCTGGGCCTGGGCTGGGCTGTGCCGGGCTGTGCCGTCCCCAGGCCGGGCCGGGCTGTGCTGGGCTGGGCTGTCCCCGGGCCTGGGCCGGGCTGTCTCTGGGCCAGGCTGTCCCTGAGCTGGGCTGTCCCCGGGCCGGGCCGGGCCAGGCCCAGCAGAGCCCCCGGCGGGAGGGTGCAGCTGAACCCCGTCCAGCACACACGGGCACCCCAGGGCAGCGAGCTTCACCGTCCTGCTCAAACATCAGAACACCTGAATGGTTGGGAACAGCTTTCTTGGCTGCACACACGCTTCAGTGGGGAGTGTTGGTGAATATCGAGTGTCTTTTCCCTTTAGTTCACAGAATTCTGGTTTTTAAGGGATCCAAAAGGATCATCAAGTCCAACTCCTGGCAGTCCCCACAAGCCACAGCATGTGCCTTGTCCAAATGCTTCTTGGACTCTGCCTGGCTTGGTGCTGGGACCACTGCCCTGGTACCCAGCCACCCTCTGAGTGAGAAAAACCTTTCCTAATATCCAACCTAAACGTCCCCTGACACAACTTCAGGCCACTCCCTCAGGTCCTGCCACCGACTGTTAGAGATGAGAGATTGTTGTCTGTCCCTCTGCTTCCCCTTGCAACAAAGTTTGACTGCAATGACCCCTCAGTCTCCTTTTCTGGTTGTCTGGTTGTTTTCTGGTTGTCTCCCATGTCTTCATTTGTACCGTTCAGTCTGTTCCTTACTTCCAGGTTAGGAAGCAAGCCACTTCCTAAGTAGGTATGAGAATACTTTTCTGCTTTTTAGCAGCCTCTGGAGACCTTTTGACACAGGTATTGCACCAGGAAAGGGGTGGGAGGAAGGGCCTAATATGTGCTGGAGTGAGCAGTAGCAGGATAACGAAGCTTTGGGTTAAAGCAGTGGACCAGCATGTTTGTCTTTTAGGCTATGAGACCTATTTTCTCCTTCCCCATCTCTCCTGAGTCTGATACTTGTTTATTTATAGACTGAAGACTGCCTAAAATTGGGGATGTTGCTGGGAAGCTGTTTGGACAGTGGCTGCAGCTGTTAAGAATGTAGCTGCAACAAGGCTGAAGCCAGGAGAGGGGCAGTTCTGGGTGTGAGAGCTACCAACCCATGGGACTAGAGCAGAAAGAACATTCAGGGCAGATGCTGCCATTTCTGAGCTTTTCCTTAGGGACTTTCCAGCAGGAGGCAATCCCAAGGTGACACAGTGACAGACAGACACAGAACTGGAGTTTCTTGACATCCCTGCTGTCACTGCTATCCATGCCTCTCAGGCAGAGACTTTCCTATTCTCGTGCCAGCTTGTCACCCTTTCCCAGATGTTTCCCTCAGTCTGCCTCTCAGACACTCTGAAACTTTTGAACTGGGACAGGGACACACACATGACCATAGACCTCCAGGGTTTGTCATATCCTCATAGAGGGAGGAACCTGCAACCTGTGTATTACAAG